CTACTCTTCCTCCCTGAGGTTAACGTTTCTGAGGCCACGCCTCTCTGTCAGAACCAATAGGGAGTGTTCTGTTGACTCCCTTTTTAAAGCGCGACTCAGCTCAGGCTTACCATTAAGAAACACCTGGGGTCACTGGGATTCGAAATAAATTTTCCCGCTTAAGCAGAAGTCATTTTATAAATTATCTTCATAGCTATGTTTATATCTGGAAGACTACGATCATTTATATATAAAAAACAAATATATACCGTATATACTAGAGTATAAGCTGAGTTTTTCAGCCCATTTTTTGTGCTGAAAAATGCCCCCCTCGGCTTATACTCGAGTCAGCGTCTCGAGCTGGTCAGGTTTCTTCTTACTTACCTCGCCGAGCGTCGCGTCACTGCTGCTCCGGTGGGCGGCGCTCCGAGCGGGGTCATCTGGCAGTCTCCGGGTCCTAATTTAGGTGGCCGGAGACTGCCAGATGACCCCGCTCGGAGCGCCGCCCACAGGAGCAGCAGTGACGCGACGCTCGGCGAGGTAAGTAAGAAGAAAAAAACCCCCCCCGCAGCGGCCAGTCAGGAGCAGGGGAGCAGGGATGAGTCAGCGGCGCGCTGGTCAGGCGAGAGGAGCTCCAGGTGGGGTTGTAATTTAGCTGGCAGGCACCTCTAAGTCAGCTAAATTAGGACCCCACCTGGAGCTCCTCCCACTGGACCAGCGCGCCGCTGACTCGTCCCTGCTCTCTCCGTGATGTGATGATCGCTCACCGGCACACGGACACAGTGAGTGAGGGGAGATTTGGGGGGATTTATTAAGCAATTATGTATTATTTGCACTGTATTAGCAGTATATACTCTATATAGAGTATATACTGCTAATACAGTGCAGACAATACATTTACAATTATACTAACATGAATGGATTAAATGATCTGTATGTAGCCCTGTACTATGGATCATTTAACCCATTCATGTTAGCAGAGGATCATTGTAAATGTATTGTTGCAGGCACTCTATATGTACATGTACTATATACTACATATAGAATGCACTGAACAATACATTTACAATTATCCTCTGCTAATATGAATGGGTTAAATGATCCGTAGTACATGATATGTAGCCCTGTACCCCCTTTTCCACTTACAGAGCTAGGTTATTGTTTTATGGGGGGAAAAAGAGAGCAAAAGAAATTGTGGGTATCAATGGAGTTAGTAATATGTAAAATTGATTTACAGATAGTGGGTTGGATACCGAAACAATTTAGACCCCAATAAATGATAATGTATTTCTTACTACCGAATACATAACAACTTGGGACTCACTATATTTAAAATATGGAAGGGATTACAATTCCCCCCTAATGCCTCTGCTAGGACATAGTTACTTTCTCCCAGGCATGACAGACCCCTATTATAAGAAATGGGCAGGAGGAGATAAATGGCTACTACGTCAAGTGATGGAGAAAAGAACATTAAAACCGCTCAATGAGATATGTAAAATATTGCAACTTACCAATATGGATAAATGGAGATATCAACAACTTAGACACTTTATCCGTTTTTGTGTGTGTTTTTTTTAAGCATATAGTTTTTATTAAGAGTTTTCATGTTTAACAATGCGATGACATGTTAGAGGTAACAGTCGAAAGAAAAAAAATGAAAGAAAAAAAGAAAGAATCCAAATGAAGAACTTCGAAGCCCGTCGACAGTGCAGGGTCCCTGGGGCCCTGGGCCCCAGAGACCCTGCACTGCTCCATATTCCACCAAGGGGGGTGCCCAGGACCGGACCTCATTGGGCCCCCCCACAGCCTCAGGCCCTGGTGCAGCCACAGCGGCTGCATCGGCAGTAGTTCTGCCCCTGTCTTGGCCGCTAAAAGGCAGTATTTATCCATTCTTTACCAAAACCTATTAGATCAATAAAGGAATTACACCCACTAGAAGAAATGTTTGAAAAAGGTGGAGCCAATAGAGGAATATCCCTTATATATAAAACTTTGTCTCAGAAGATCCACAGTGGCACAAATATTTAATACAATGGGAGGAGGAGCTAGGATGAGAGTTATCAGATTCACAAAAGGGGAAGATACTTTAATTAACTCATGCTTCATCCAGATCTTTCCGGATGGTAGAAATTAATTATAAGTCGGTATGTATATGGTATTATACCCCAGTAAGGTTAAACTTAATTTGGACAAATCACTCTCCTCTTTGTTGGAGGGGATGTGGAGAGCCTGCCACCTGTGACCATATGTCGCGGATCGGGGCTCACGGGTATGAACTGGAAACAGGTCTGTGGACCCTATCTACTACACTGGCAGGGACACTTAGCGAAAAGGGTGCAAGCAATGTAGGATGACAACTCCCAGAGCTGAAGTGCAAACAGGGAACAGAGCAGGGGAACTGAAGGAGGTGGTGGAAGACAGAATAGGCTGGTAGTTCAAGGTACTGGGCAGGGTGCTGCAATGCCAGGTAGGTGGCATGGGGTCCCCCAGGATGTGGAATCTAGTGGCCAGCCGGTGTTCACCAGAGCTCCTGATGGTGGAGATGGGATTGGCTGTGTGCTGACGTCAGGTCACAATCCCTAGGTCCACCCAGCTCACCTAACAGCCAGGAATGGTTGACAAGGCCAGAGTTCTGGACAGGTTGCAGACACACATACAAGGGACAAAACAAAGGTCAAGGACAGACAGATGACTAGGACTTCCAGGGAAAATCCAAAAGATAGGGACAGACTGAAGACTGGGATCACCAGGGACAAGTCAACGTTCAGAGCAGACCGAGGACAAGGATTTCCAGGGACAAGCCAAAGGTCAGTACACAGGCAAACTTCAAGGAATTCAGGTTCAATCACAATCAGGGGGCTCAGCATCAGTGGCTTCACAAGCGGGGTGCGGGGGGTGCCACCTGCACCCGGGTGACACCATTGGAGGGGTGACACCAAAATGACTGTCATTTTGGTGTCATCCCCCTCTGAAAAGTCGGGCGCACGGTCATGAACCAAACGCCTGACAGTATCAGGAGAGAAGAGGGCGCCCGACGGCATACCTCATCCCGCCAGGTGACTGTCCCCTCCTCTCTCTGCCGGCGTCCATCACCAAGATGGCCGCCGGCAGGTATCGGAAAATAGCCGCGTGTGCACGATGACGTTGCGTGTGAAGTCTCGGCGGGGTGACACCCGGTAACTGCTCCGGGTGTCACCCACCCTCGGGACGCCCCTGCCTGGCATCTAGTTTGGGAAAGCGTTGCTCGGGCATTCGCTGCCCTGGATTTAAAGACAGGAAGAGAGAGGATCCACAGGATTAGCCACAAGTGGACTACAATGATTGGCTGAGAAGCTGCATAATAAACAGCAGGAGAGGTCGGCCGACGCCTAGAGCTGCCAGACTGGTGCAAGAGTGAGTCAGGTTCAGAGCACATGCCTGGAGGACTACAAGCAACAGCACAGCCCTGCATGCCTGCAGAACCAGCAGTAAGAGGTATGTATATATTTGTAGAACTACAAGTAACCGCTCAGCTGCATGTCTGCAGCTGAACTGTGACACCATATTAGTGAGCACATGAGGTTTAAGTAGGCGGTAATTAGGTTGGATAGTAAACACGTTAATAGGAATAAAAGAAATAGGGTTAGGAGTAATTGTAAATACAACATAATTATTAATATATTATACACTCAGATAATGTACATGATTGAGAGGAATCGACTGTCTCCAGGGAGGTACGTCCTCCGTACTGTTGACCATATAGGTGTTAGAATTGGGAATTTATAAAAATATGTAATAAGGGAATAACACATTTAATACACATGAAGGGGAATTAGGGCTTAAGGGGAGGAATACATTGAAGAGAGGGGAAGGGCTGAAGAAGAGCACTGGAACACTCTAGGAAGAGTAAGTGGGAACACCATATATCAGACACAGGGAGAGAGGGATATAAAATTAATAAATAATCCTCCGACCTCCCGCGACCACTTTTTTCTCTTCTTCTTTCTTATGATCTTCCACTTATGGGTCATAAAGAAAATAAGAAAAGATAAAGATCTTTTCTTATTTTCTTTATGACCCATAAGTGGAAGATCATATGGAAAGGTACGGGATAGGTTTGAATAATAAGGAATAGAATAATTATTGTAATTGAGTAGATGCCAGTTAATGGATCGTTAATATTGAAGAGTGAGAGGAATTTCTTGTAGACAAGTATATGTAATAGGGAGGAGGGAAAACACTATGTAAATGTTTGTTTGGCTATGTGTTTATGATTATATGTATGTATTTATGAGTATTTCTATGTTATATGTATATTTGATATTTGGAAAATGTAATAAATAGATATTATTAATAGAAATGTACAACACCTATGATCAAACGAAATTTGAGCAGATGTTTCTGTGGAACTTTTTAATGTTTTTAATTTTGTAATAAATAAAATATAAAGCTCTTATTCTAAAATAGTGTGGACGACATCTGTGTGTTGTGATACCTTTAAAACCCATTACAATTTTTTTTGCACTAATACTATATAAAAGGTGCAGTAACTTAAGCCGGGTTCACACCTAGGCAGCACCGTTTTTTCGCGTTTGTACGTGCGTGTTCAGCGTTCGGTTATTTGTGCGTTTATGCAAGTTATGCACATTTTGATGTACATGAAGACAGCTCGTGAAACATTGCGAGCAATGGACAAATGAGCGTTTAAACGTGCAGAAACGTGCAGGAAAATGTGCAACATGCTTCTGCTGTGCATTGTGAGGCGTTTCTATTGAAGTCTATGGGGCAAAAACATGCTTTAACTGCCCAACGAAGCTCATGTACCTTTTCGGGCATTTGGCGTTTTCCTGCTGGCGTTTTTCTGCTCAGGTGTGAACAAGGACGCTTGAAAATCATTGGATTTCTTGTGTTGGGCATTTAAAAGTGCTTTTCCAACTGCTAAAAACTCCTAGTTGTGAACCAGGCCTTAGGGCTGAGGGGCCACAGATAAATTGAAGTAAAATTTGAGAAAACTTGCTGAGTATTCCTGAGGAACTCACCTTGGATTCAATATCTAGGAGTTTAACAGTGGAGCTGTTTACTTGTAATGCCATCTCTTGGGTCCAGACTTTGCTTTTAGCATCCATCGCATTCAGTTTACGAATGGCATCCTCCACTGTATGGACATCATCATCCTCATCAATTGTAAATGTCACCAAATGCTGAAAAAGAAATATTCAATAAAATAAAATAGCTATAGTTATGTTATTACTAATGACAATAACATTTCAATTTTGTTTCCCCTGCCCTCTTGGTTGTAGAAATTAACGCACAAGTGTTGGAAACAATTACATTTTACAACAGGTGCAAATTTTTCATTTTCATAGTCTAGAAAGATAAAACTATGCATCATATACAAAATATAAATGCAACCAACAAAATGGTATGACAATCTTCCCAACCCTCTTCTCCCTTTCCTTCCCTCCCCCTTCTCCACTATGCTTTTCCCCCTCTGAGCTGTCCCAACTTTTTCTTATTTCTCTCTTTCTCCACAAACTTCTTTATGTTCTTTGGAAACTTCAAGTGGATCATTAGATAGCTCCCTGAGACACCAGAGACAGAAAAAAATCCACTTGTATAGCAGGAGTGGTTAACCTTTGTTAAATATGTCTTATTTTCATCTGTTCAGACAAAGAGCAGCACTGTTTCTGTTTTGCACTTGACCTATTGGACTTTAATACTGCGGCTGCATTGCTATTACAGATGTTGTACTTCTGCTGCTTGTGATTAAAATAAAGAATTTAAAAAAAAAATTGTTAAAAGGGAATAAAACTAAAAAAATGTAATAATTCACTAATAGAATGTTTGACAGACTAGTACAGTAAAGCAAGAAATATACTCACCAACTGTATAAACTCAAGAGATTTATCAATTTGTGCCAAATGTGATGAAAACAATTTGGAAGGAAATAAAGTAGCTAGCTACACCTCCATTCAATCAGAAATAGTGGCCGGTTAATTCGCGTACATAGCAGAAAAAAAAAATGATTTTTGACTTTACTGTAAAATCCTTTTCTTGGAGTACAGTACAGGCCACACACTCCTTTAATTATAGTCCCATGGTTATGTGCAACTTCCTTCAAGTGACTGGACATTGGAAAGAAGAATTATGAAAAACCTTCTTGCTGGTGTTTGTTCTGTGTGGGAACTGGCTGCAGGAGCAGAGGAGGAAGTGTTGCTCGCAGGCGCTCAGTGACAGCCACAGTCCCTCCAGTAAACACAGCCACACATTCCCTTCAGATGAATAAATAGGTACACAGGATTCTCTATAGGGCAAGCCAGGTAGCAGTGCACGTTAATATCTGTCATTGTGCCGTTTGGTATGGGTGATCCAAATAGCTGCATTCAAAGGGAGGGGGCTGGAACTGGGAGGACGCTGGGCTGTCACATCTCTTTCCCTCCCCAGTCTGCCCTTGGCAAGTGAAATCAAATGATGGCTTTCTCATAAAAAATATTATTACAACAGGGGCAGATGTGGCAGATATATCAGCAGGGGCAGATGTGGAAGATATCGCAGCAGGGGTGATGTGGCTGTGATGGGGTGGTATAGAACACTTTCCCGTTTAACTATGTTCTATCCCATGTTCTATAATGGCAAGTAGTCACCTTAGCTGTCTGACAGTGTCCTCCTGGCTGTTCTCGAATTGATTCTCACTGGAGGAAGAATGGAGGGAGGCTACACTCTGGGATGTGGGAATGCATGCCTGGCCAGCAACATCAACTGAATCAGAGGTGGATCTGTAATATTAGGCAGCTGCTGCTCGCTGGGTCCTCGCAGCTGAACCCCCGACACAGCCCCATTGTAGATCTGTCACTGTCGTCCATCTCTGTGGCCAGGGCAGCCCCTCCATTG